GATGGCAGCATTGCAGCTCATTTATTACCAGGCCGGTAATATAACGGTATCGGTCGATATCGAAATCGGAAATAAAGTGTTTGGACAATATCGGCATAGTGAATATTGGCAGAAATTGTAATATTGGACTGGAGCAAGTGTTTAACTTCCAGTGAGATTTTGCACTTACATTGCAATTATCCAAAGTGATTTTCAAGGGGAAGATTAGCAATCAAGATGGATGGATGGATGGATGGATGGATGGAAGGAAGGAAGGATGGATGGATGGATGGATGGATGGATGGATGGTTGGATGGATGGATAGATAGATAGATAGATAGATAGATAGATAGATAGATAGATAGATAGATAGATAGAGAGATGGATGGATGGATGGATGGATGGATGGATGGATGGATGGATGCATGAGCCGACTGTGTGATATGGGATGCTAAAGGGATCCACTTGATTTGATGCTAGTTGCTTTTTTTAAAAAAAACACCCTTGCTAACTACTCAAAATTGTAGCTGTAAACCACTAAATTGGACAGTGTGTACTTACATGAGGTGCTGTACATGACACCAGAGATGGACTGACAGATTCCCCGCTCTGTCTCAGTCTCAGTCTCAGTCTCATCCTCTTCTTCTTCCTTTATGTTCTTAGTGCCATCGGCTGCCGTCACACCTATATCTATTGCTATGTTTTCCTCTTCAAAAGTGCCGCCCTCGATATTTGAAGGTTCCTCTTCAACCCCATCCACCAGGCTGCCAGAGCGTGAGAAGCGGGAAAACAAGATGCCTCCGATTCCCTTTCCAAGACAAGCGGCCCCTGAGAGGCAGTCATATGCAAACATTAGGGAAGTCCATTACTGTAAATCTGGAAACCAATGAAATAACTAGTAAATACCCCCAATCACATACAACAATAATGTTTATCTATTATGACAGCATTGAAATCTATCTATCTATCTATCTATCTATCTATCTATCTATCTATCTATCTATCTATCCATCCATCCATCCATCCATCCATCCATCCATCCATCCATCCATCCATCCATCCATCCATCCATCCATCCATCCATCCATCCATCCATCCATCCATCCATCCATCCATCCATCCATCCATCCATCCATCCATCCATCCATCCATCCATCCATCCATCCATCCATCCATCCATCCATCTATCTATCTATGTGGTTAGCTAGTTAGCTATCTATCTATCTATCTGTCTATCTGTCTATCTATCTATCTATCTATCTACCTATCTATCTATCTATCTATCTATCTATCTATCTATCTATCTATCTATCTATCTATCTATCTATCTTCTGTCTGAATTTGCTGTAGCCTGTTTGCAGCTAGCATGCTACTGTAAATGTATGTCAATGTCCAGTCTTCTGGACTTTTAGTTTCTTCAGTGGGTTGTTTTTTTTTGTTTGGATGGGGTCAGAGGGTGCGCAAATTCTCTTATGAACCAAAGGGCTTTATATTGTTACTAACATAAAATTCAGCTCAGCTCTTCCTTAACCTCTTTGCTCACCCATGATGCTGGCCTTGCCCAGGCTGGTAATTGACTCCCCATAATGGCGTCGGGCCTGAGGCGGGGAAGTGCAGGGACTCGGTAGGCTCTCACAGTCTGACGTGCATGTAGCATCCTTCAAGGGATTTAGTATCGTGGGTCTGATCTCATCATACGGCGTTGGACTGGTAGTGTTGTACCTGTACAGCATACAACATGTGTTTCTCGATTACTCCAACATCGTAGTTGTTTTGTTGTTCCTTTGTACTTGAGCAAGCACATCAGGTGAACTTAGAGTACAGATATGAATTATATTTTTTAGCGATGCATCATTTTGCCAAAAACTGTCATTATTTGGAAAACTACGAAAGAACCACATTACTTACCAGTTGATTTGAACAGGAGAAATGTTACTGTAGTGTTTTAAGATAAGAGGTTCCAGTCTGTACGCCTGCAACAAAAACATGCAACGACTTTAAACATTTGTAATAGTGTCAGAGTTTGTAGAGAAAATTTTAATATCGCTATGGCTGTAATCTCCCAGTCGACTCGTCAATACGTTCCTGGTCGACCAAAATTCTGATTGGAAAAAGTTTTTGTTGTTTATACAATACCCAAACATTTATCATTAAATCCATTAAAATATAAATACACTGTAAAGTAATAAATACAAGTACAATAAAATATGAAATACATTGAAATATTAATGGGAGGTAGACGACAAATCACAGCTTCCGAAAAATAGATAACAGGAAAAGAGTCGAAGGAAAAGTTTGCAAGCAACAGTTTGCATATCACAGCTCGACCCAGCTCAACTACAAACATGGCATATTGCCTTAAAAAAAATTAACTCGTCTACGTCAGGTTGCTCTGTCCGTACATGAACATCAGAACATCAATTTTTTTTTTAAATGTACGTGATTTTAACACAAATAAACATTCTTTATGTTTATTTGTAATTACCATATTTCCCGGACTATAAGTCGCACTTTTTTTAATCCTTTGGCTGGGTTTGCGACTTATACTCAGGTGTGACTTATATATCGAAATATATCATTTCACATGTTTTTTATTTTCACACTGACAGCCGCTAGAGAGCTGTTGCGACTTATACTCCGAGCGACTTATATTCCGGGAAAATGTGGTACTACTCTTTATGTTTATTTATAATTAGTCAATATTCCATGACTCCAGTCGACCAAGACATTCTTTGGTTGATCACAGCCCTAAATATTACATTATTCATAATGAATAAAGAGGAGAGCAAAATATTACAAAAGTAATCAATTTCAGTTTCATGATCAGAAGAGGACACTACTTACAACAGGGTCGGTGGGATGGAAAATGTTGAAGAGGCGTTTACAAATGCTTGTGGGCAGGATATGGTCCTGGACACCGTTGTTCCCAGGCCTAATCCCTCGCAACGCCAAGAAGACAGCCAGGGGAGAACCCATACAGAAGAAATTTTCTACCTGCAACAGTAATGTAATGTAGAGATTCAACAGCATGATGATCTCTTTCAACAGAATAATGATGGTATTATTTATTATGGCAAAACATATTTGACTTTGAAAATTGAGCTGGATTCTCTCCAGGTTCGTTTGAGTTGGAAGACTAGCCTTCAACCTAAAAAAAAACCAAAACCTTTATTCACATCCTTCTTAGATTAGATTAGATAGATAGATAGATAGATTAGATAGATAGATAGATAGATTAGATAGATAGATAGATAGATTAGATAGATAGATAGATAGATAGAGAGATAGATAGATAGATAGATAGAGAGATAGATAGATAGATAGATAGAAAGATAGATAGATAGATAGATAGAGAGATAGATAGATAGATAGAAAGATAGATAGATAGATAGATAGAAAGATAGATAGATAGATAGATAGATGGATAGATAGATAGATAGATAGATAAGATAGATAGATAGATAGATAGAGAGATAGATAGATAGATAGAAAGATAGATAGATAGATAGATAGAAAGATAGATAGATAGATAGATAGAGAGATAGATAGATAGATAGAAAGATAGATAGATAGATAGATAGATTGATAGATTGATTAGATAGATAGATAGATAGATAGATGGATAGATAGATAGATAGATAGATTGATAGATTGATTAGATAGATAGATAGATAGATTAGATAGATAGATAGATAGATTAGATAGATAGATAGATAGATTAGATAGATAGATAGATAGATTAGATAGATAGATAGATAGATTAGATAGATAGATAGATAGATTAGATAGATAGATAGATAGATAGATGATAGATAGATAGATAGATAGATATTTGTATGTACACTAAGTATACCACATTATCTCTAACGGCATGTATATGTAGATATATTAGTGTGGGCTGTATTATTGCCAGATTTGTTCAACCATTATTACTAAGAGCTACTATACATATATAATATAATATTATATAGGATACATATTAGTAATATATTTATAGACAGTATAAGTTATAAATATGCATATATATACATACGTTCACATCCACATATATGCACTATATATATATTCACATACATATGCACACACACACATACATACTGTATATACCTACACACATATACATATACATCTAAATATGCATACACATGTACAGACATACACATAAAGTCACCACCACTTAAAGTGGTGGTCCAAGGAGAGGGGCACGAGAAATGTTTTTATGCCGCCCATACCTGAATTGAAATACTTTTGAGAACCTAATAATGTGTATTTTCTTATCTGTACAAACCACTGTATGAGTTGCTGCCACCTGGTGGCTGGACGCTTAGAATAGAATAGAATAGAATAGCCTTTATTGTCCTTGTACAGTGTACAACGAGATTTGAGCGCTACTCGCGCTTGTTCTCGCCCCCTCCAATTAGTGCGAATATGAATTGAATAGAAATGGAAACTGTGCAAATGGAATTACCTTGAACTTCAAGGCCGGCACTGCCACACAGGCCGAGGTCTGCAGACCCTGGAACTGATTCTCCAAGTCTCTCAACCTAGAAGACAATTGATGAAATTCAAATACACTTACACTTTGACATCTGCGTTTACTCTGCAGTAAAATCTATAATGGTGTCCAGCACCCATTAACAATAGAAAATCTATCAAATCAACTGTTCAATGTCAAAAAAATCAAAACAAACAAACTAACTACTGGATCCACAACCGGAACTTGAACTTTTTTTTTTTTTTTTTCTTCATTGGTTTTTATGTATTTGTACAATGTATGTTCTGATAACATCTATTGCACGTCTGTCCGTCCAGGGAGTGGATCCGTCACCTGTGGTTCTCCCTAAGGTTTCTACCTTTCTCTTTTCTCCCTGTTGAAAGGTTTTCTCTTTCGGTAGTTTTTCCTTACCCTGGCTGACGGTCTAAGGACAGAGGATGTTACCAACCCTGTGAAGCCCCATGTGACAAACTGTGTTTTGTAAATGTGGGCTATATAAATAAAATTTGAAATTTGAATTTGATTGATTGGTTTCGTGCGCCTCAGTACCTTAACTGTGTGAGTCTCAGCTGCTCCTGAAGATGGTGCTCTTCGTCACTTGTTTCCACTGGGTCTGATGCTTCTTGATAATGGAAGTTCACTGGGTCCCAGCCAGTCATGATATCATAGGCTATGACACAGCCCAGTGAATGGGAAACGATGGACACCTTCCCGTTTTTCTCGAATTCCGGATTTCGGGAGCAGAAAAGTGAGTAGAGACGATTTAGCTCCAATGTCAAACACCTGGTGATCTGAGCACAGGTACAGCCTCAGTTTCTTTCTGTTTGTGAGCTTTCAGAAGACATGAAGTAAAGGACAGCCTTGAATAAGACTTGACAGGAATGAAATGAATGTCAAAGCGACACTTTTTCAGATATAAACAAGGAATCGAAACAGTACCGTATTTTCGGGACTATAAGTTGCACTTTTTGTTTGTTATTTTCACACTGACAACCACTAGAGGGCACTCTAGGCTTGTGTAACATTAGCTGCTACTCCTGTACCACTGAAAATTCGCACTTTTTTTCATCCTTCGCCTGGTGCGACTTATAGTCCGGAAAATATGGTAATTTATTTATTTTAATTTTATAATTCTTTCAGATTTTCAGTTTATGCTAACTTTTTTAGGGGAATTCTTTTAGATGTGCTGCAACCGGGTGCCCCTTGGTGGCGCCAAGTATGCACTTCCTCTGGAAATCAAACCTAGGACTCTCTGCTCTCCGCTTGAAAAGCAGCCGCGCTAACCACTATACTACGGAACCCCACAAAAGAAAGAGACAAGTGGACCACAAACTACAGGCTAGGTATGGCTCGATACAGTTTTTTCATGTCCAATACCGATACTGCAATTTAGAGTAACTGCCAATACGTATACCAACGATACCTTCTTTTCTCGAGGCGATAGCCTCCCCATTTACTGCATGTCGTGCAAAGATAATTTGAGCATTTGGTCTTAGGTATCGGCTATAGTCCTTTTTTTCTATGTTCGATTCTGAAAATTTGACTAACATCAAGCCGATGCCAATCTTGAGACTCAGATCGAGCCATCATAACTTCCGACCATTAATTTAGGACGTTGTTGTGCGTGTAGTCTATTTAACTCTTGCCACCCTATTTCCTTTTACCCTTCTAATTCAGCATCAGGCTTACCTCATCTCTGTATAGAGGGCTGGTGTAGTACATGATATCCATAGCGCTGCTGTTCAACATATCTCTAAGGCCTCTCACTTTGTCTGGAGTGATAGAGTCCACGGTGTCTGCATGAAAGACAAGAAAAGTTAATCAAAGATCAATTTGGTTTGTTTTGTTTCTTGATTCTAAAACCTTGTAAAAAAACGCAAATTCTTAAACTTTTAAAATTCTGTCAAGGAGTAAATGCTGAATGGGGCATTGTCGTAGCTCAGGTACACTTGTGGAAGTCACTGCTAAAACCAGGTTGGCATGGCGGCTCCACCCGGGCCCGGTGGTCAACAGGACTAAAGTAAAAATGCTACATATGCTCAGACTTTTTAACACTTGTAAAGTAAGACCTTTATTTAAACTGAACATGTCACACGTCTTATGCTGTAACCCGGTTTTTCAGTTCGACGCATGCATATTGAAACCTAACATAGTACCAATAAAAAACTATATAGAAATAAATATAGAAAATACTCTTAAAAATTAATATAAGTTGCCTTAAAATATGTTGCCATGTCATTTTTTTATGGTTAAAATACAGAAAAAATATATATATATATAAATGGTTAATATACAGAAAAAATATACTTCTTTGGTACATCAGCCATTGATGAATACAAATATAATATACTGATAACCTCCTGAAAAATTCTTCAAAAATAAGTGTCTCAAAAATGAATAGAAATGCCCTCATTTGCCTTAGAAGAAATAGCTATGTCCTTTTTTATGGTTAAATTGCAGAAAAAAATGTGGGTACTTTTTGGGTACGTCAACTATTGATCAAAAGCAACACCCTATACTAATAGGTTCCTGAAAAAGTATTCAAAAATAAGTGTCCAAAAAAATGAAAATGAATAAAAATGCACTCAAAAATGCCTTAAAATACCTAGAAATTACCTTTTTTATAGTTAAAATTCAGAAAAAAATATACTTCTTTGGTACATCAGCCACAGATGAAACGCAATTTACCAATATTGAGTACTGTCTCCTGAAGGTGCGGAAGGTTGCTAAGGTCTATCCAGTGGTGAAACTTACCCCCATCCAGCACTAGTTTGGAACGCCATTCCACAGGTAGGAACTCTACATGCTCCGTCGTACGATCGGGAAAATGCTTCTCCTCCATCTTCCGGGCGGCATCCCTAATCCTAAAAATGAAACAAATACAACAAAAATCTGGCTTCACTCAGCTCTACACTTCAGTCAGAAAAAAAACAAAACAAAAAAAAAAAAAAACATACATGCTGGTGTTTCTAATGATACGTCCTTGATCCATCTTCTGACCGATGCCATGTACTACAAAGACAATATGTGTGGTTTCAGGTGGGGTGTCTTCAGGTGCCGCTTCCTCCATGTACCCCCGATGAAGACGTGTCCCACTGCTTGATGCTGGAGACACAAAGTGCGAAGTGGTTACACAGTCATTCAGTGCTCAAGGAGTTTGAGATATTTTGATGTTCAGGATTCTTGCTCCTGTTTTTTTATTCACAATAATATTAGAGATATAATAAATTAGCTCTCTCTCTCTTTCTCTGTCTTTCTCTCTCTATCTATCTAGATCTCTCGCTCTCTCTATCTCTCTCTCTCTTGCTCTATCTCTCTCTTTCACTCTATCTATCTCTCTCTCTATATCTCTCTCTCTATCTATCTCTCTTGCTCTATCTATCTATCTATCTATCTCTCTCTCTCTATCTATCTATCTATCT